TATGGACCGTGACACTAAAAGTTTGATCTCTTATTCCTTCTTATTGTTGCCTGAAATTACTATACTGATTATAATTATTTATTAAATTAAACGTTTACTAGATTAGACAAACTTTGATATAAACACGTCAGTGATTGTATATAAATAAATGGGGGCATTCATCTGATGCTTACGAAAACGAATCATTAGTGCAAGTGTTGAAGGCCATTACTCACAGATGTAATGATAAGCTAATTCTTAGGCTGTTGAATACAGAGTCTTAGTTAGGCCAATGTCAGAACATGTGGGCTATTCGGTATGAATAATTCCATCTGTTCCCGAAATGTAAATTGACGCCGTTAGTATACAAATCGAAGAAATCAATACAGTCTATTAAGGAGAAAAAAAGAGAGAGATAAATAACATAATAAACAGTAGCTAGAGGACAGGAAAAATGATTCTTTTATAAATTGTCTAAATAGTCTCTACCTATAGTCAATTTCAGATGTAGAAAGTCACTAAACTTAGTGTAGATAAAAAATGAAAACTTGGAAACTTGATCATGAGTTAAGTAACTAAAGGTGTACTAGGAATTCAGAAAGTGGGGGTGGACTAATGGCCAAATGGTCAAATGAGGTGTATAGTAGCCTTATCCTCATTTAGGCTTGTATATGTTCAAATCGTGTAAGACTTTGATTTAATCCATTTGGTAGATTGTGTTATTTTAGTCCATAATAATTTCATTACATATTTTACACATATCATTAAGCCTGTATAAATGAGTATGTTTGATTAGGTGCAAGCTGAAGCCTACTCACTTACTTCTCTTGACTAGATAAATATTAATTACCTAGAAGTTTGATGAACCATTCGTGTGCGTTATAGGTTATCTTGTTGAACTACATCTATTAATTCATCTCTCTCACCACGCACTGGCTAGTCACCTAGTTTGATGTGTTTGAAATAAACTGTTCTGCCTATTTCGTCTGACTACTGAAATTTATAGAGTTCAGGAATCATGGTAGTAACGGTTGTCTCATCACTCAACATAAGAAGTATCGCAATAATCGTAGAGATATCTGTAATAAGTATATTCATAAATTAATCATGACGACGTTTGTCCAAATTTTGTACAAATGTTATTTTCTATTTTATGCTACGTTGTGGTCTGTTTGATAAACTCAGTATGTTTGAAATATAATGATTCGATTTTTTTATTAAATTTATTCAAATCAACACTCCACAATGATGATACATATCTGAAACTAACAGACTTCTATTTTATTTATAAGTATATTGAACATATGAGTATTTAATGTTGCCATTTGAAAAGCTGTAAGTAGCTGTGACTTCTGGCGATCTAATGGATCATGAAGATATAAACATCTGAGGGAAGCATGGGATATAGTGGACAGCTAGAATGCAGCTGCACGATCTAGCCTTCGCAGATGATCTGGCTCTGAATAATTTATATTCTTTACGATGAATATTGCCAGCAACCACGACGTCTCTGACTGAGTTGTTTTATAACTTGTACAGCGAAATGTCGGAAACTTTTCACAAACACACGTGAATAGGTTATGAGACTAATAGGCATAATGATGTGTTAAAACAAACATAAGAATAGATAACCTGTTGAAATATCGAGATGGCACGAATTAGGTAGCAAAGCTATTCAAGCAGGCCTCCTTATCGTTTCATCTGACTGGAATGTTTCACAATATGTAAAACGTGTTTATGAATTATTAAAACGTTATAATAAACACCAGAATATAATTATTTGTGTATTTGTAGAGTCGAAGGAAGTGTCACTTGAATGAGTCCGTGAAGTTTGTAACTTGTGATTCAATCCAGATATCAAAGTAGGTTAGCATTGACTTGGTGGACATAACCTATTCTTCTGCTGACATGTTCACACTACTCAATGTAGTACATGCTAATATTGGCCTAACAGTCTGAGTTACGTTTGGAGTTGCACAATAACCGATTGGTGACATGGTCAAAATTCGGTCTCAGTAGTAAGGTTGAAGTTATTCTTAATATATTTTGAAATCTTTAGATGAGTATCATTTCATGCTTGTAATTCTTGAATCTATTCTTGTGCAATAACATTTCCGACTGATCTAATATTTCCCATCCAACGTTCATTATTCCGTTGATCTCCTATCACTGTGCTTATCTAAGCTGTTGCAATATTGGTTGACTCTCATTCGTGCAACTTTCTACGTCAATGATCACCGAATTACTAGCTTGAATTTCACACTAAGAAGACGTGAAGCATAAAGTGTGAGGGTCATAAATGTTTAATTAATAATGAGTAGTTTGTTAAATATTATCTAATAAAAGTTGATTGAGTGGTAATCTGTGTGCATCACTGATTCGCTATTAGTATCGTGATTATTAACTTCAGTAATGCTAGTGTTGCTCTTAATTTTGTTAAAATCGGTTGACGGTTACTCATATTGTCACGTTTGCCTTATCATTTTACATTATGTTATGTATCTCAATCGAAGCTATTGTATTAAAAACCCAAACTGATGGATGGTACTTGAATGATATTTCAGATCCCAACAAAATCACCAACATTTCATCTTATTTAAAGTAAGCATCCATGTAATCCCGTGGAAGTATGTCACTTAATTAAACATCACTGATCAGCCTCAAGTAATAGAAAAACAGAACTACTAGTGCTGAACATCATACTTGCAAAGAGAACACAGGTCCGTTGATTTATTCATTTTACATTAAAGAAAATTCTTATGATTTTTGGAGATTTTTGTTTTGCTTGATAAAAACTCAGTGTTTACTTCCATTTTGATAACAGGTTGAGTTTGAGCAAGACTATTTCGTTTATACAAATAAATTGTTTTGTTCATGGAAAACTTTATTCCAACAAAAGATAAAATAAATTTGCCTTGGCAATAAAAGTACAAATACATCTGTTTCAAACGAACTATAATCCACTGACATTTCAAATCTTACTACTCAATAATAGTTTAATAACTGGCCAATTGACCAACATATTATTTATGGGAGTATTGTTTATATCATATATATATATATATATATATATATCTCACAATGTTTTGATGCTTCCTGTGAATTTAAGATTTAAATGCAAAACTTGAAAGATGTTTAGTAGATTTTCATAATTTAAATGACCAATTAATCTCAACCACACCACCATTGATAATAAGAAAGGATTGGATAGACTTCTCGTATTGAACTCCTCAGCAGTGAGAACCCACGATGCTGTCGAGGATCGAGCACAAAGCATTCAGTCTTGCACGCCAATCCTCAACGTCCAGATCACTGAGCAGCAATATCATGGTGTACGTGTTTTACTTCAATCACTTTGCGATATTGTGCGACTAGATATCATCGTCTTTGATGAGTAACTACTTCAAGTCGGACTTCACTACTCACGGCTTTTCACTAAAACTCCTAGTGAAGGCTACACACCAAAGATAATGAAATATACATATCACCGCTCTTCGCGAATAACCCTTCAAATTAGAACTCTCCTCTATGTAGACGGTTTATTCGTCACAATTTTAGCTTCTTTTTAGATGAAGTCAGCGTGAGCATTGTATTCCAGGAATTCATTAGAATCTCTCCACAGACGGATAATAGATTATCCTCTTGACATGATGTATGATTTTATATTACTAGTAATCGTATTGACATTGCAGGAACACAAATTCTAACAGTTTATACGCCTGATCTAATCTCTTAACTTGCAGTTGTTTGTCATTTTCATCACCAGCTAGAATAGTTAGTCCATCTAAATAAATCCAATTAGCTCTGAATAAACTCATTTTCAATTCTTTAAAACATAACCTAATCTTCTTTATATTTATGTGTATAAAATACCTCAACATTACTGTAACACCCTTACATCGACCAAGAATTTCAGTTACACCATGCCAATCACATCAACAAATATGTTTTAAAAGTAAAATTTCTGAACAAATATACTAATTAGTTCAGTTTAAATAATGTAAATAATGAGCTAATTAGTAGATGTGTTCAGAAATTTTATTTTAAAACATATTTGTAGATCTTGTGTATATGGTATGACCTGATAACTTCCAATTAATTGAACATTGAATTGATTATTTTTAATAAAAATAACATATTTGTAATATTGAAAAAATTGTTTATGATAAACAAATTTTAGTTTATACGTTTCTGACGTTTTCGAAGTGGTATAAAGTGTACAATAGAGGTAGTTTGTGTCCGAATTGGGATATCCAGCATTTATAACATACTAGAAGATGAAATAATTTATTGAAGTAATAATGTTTGATAAAGGCACATGACTAGTGTACTGGTGAACTTACGTTTGCATGTGGTATTCGTAAGCGTGTATTTCCAATTCAATTGGTGTAACGTCAGTGTTTGAGATGAAACATGTTTTTAAAAACTTGTCTTCATGTACCTAGAGAACTCATTGTGACCTGCTCAACAATCATAACATCCCCTAACTGTATAATATCAGTTTGACCAACACAAACTTTTCAGATCACCCTTCAAGACCTATTCAAAATTCAGGGAGTTGGCGGAGTAATTTGATGTAGCTCAGTTTCCTGTATTCTTTTTGTAGCTACTTAATTTAATTGTTTATGAATAGAACAGCTATCATGTCATAGCTATTTGAATTAATTGACTCTAAGCTTATCATTAGTATGAACTATATTGAACTATATTTATTCTCTGAAGAAGTGACTTACACTAAGCCACGAAACGTCAGAAAATCCAATTTTCTACTCATTGGGATATTACAAATATATTATTTTTTATTTATATTGAGTTTCATTTATGTATGAGTAAGCAATTCTGAAACCATTTAAAATGTATTCCAATATACAGTATATATAATTGAGGAATTCTTTCTGATCATATGTATTCACTTACATTTGTTATTTTAGTCTGGTCAATTAAATATTATCATTAGCTCTAACTTATTCAGCATAACTCAGAACATGTGTTGGTTGCTAACTAATCAACTATTAAGCTTAGTGATTCTCACTGTTATTTGTAAGATACCTATACAAGTAATATTGTGCTTGCGCTATTGTTTTATTTGATTTTCATTTCGACACTTTCCTGTATACTTTGTGACATCAGGTAAAGCATAAGATTAGGCTTTGAAGTAAGAAACTCCGTAGTCTAATTGTAATCAATATAATCTGTACTGATATACATTCAATTTCTTAGCAATGTTCGGGTAACCATTGAATAACGATCGGATTCAGTCAAATGTCATTGGATTGTTCGATTCAAGAACAAATTAATTTAAGGTAAGGAACCTAATTCATAACGTTTGTCTTTGTAGGTGTACAAATCATTGTTTTGTTTAATTTCAACGATAAATGAATATATTTTGCTTGATATCATAGTAAAGCACAATTATTTCAATGAAGAATGTTCTTTTCAATAATTTCTCATCAGGCTCTATAATTATATATCCAAATTAATAATCCATAAAATTGGCCAGATTCAAGGCAGAGTACACCATTTAAAATCATACCATGTGAATTAAGGATTGTTTGGAATAGAAAATAAAGTCAAATCGATAATGTTTAGGTGACTAATATGAAGTGTTAGCTTGAATCAGTTTATAAGTGAAATGAAATTGTGAGATAAGTGATCGGAATAAATATGGTGAACATGGGATGAGAGAGATAATCATGTAATTACAAAACAGAAATTGTGTAATATGTAGAATAATATGAAATAGGCACAAATTAGCGGATAGTGATGGATGCTGAATAAATTTCTGAAAAATGAGTAGCAAGTATTTCGGGTAGAACTAAATAGATATAACTATGTCAAGACAACAATGCAGTGTTCCACCAATCGAATCACTCTTGACGGAGAAGATTTGGAGGATGTAAAAACTGTTACATATCTGGGCAGCATCATTGACGAAAACGGTGGATCTGATACAGATGTGAAGGTGAGGATCGGCAAAGCAAGAGCAGCATCTCCACAGTTGAGGAACATGTGAAACTCGAAATAATAGTCAACTAACAACAATGTCAGAATTTTCAATACAAATGTCAAGACAGTTCTACTGTATGTGATGGAAACGTGGAGAACCATGGAAGCCGTCACCCACAAGATACAGGTGTTTATTAACAATTGTCTACGAAAAGTACTTCGGATCCGTTGGCCAAACACTATCAGCAACAACCTACTGTGAGAGAGCACAAACCGGATCTCAGCGGAGTAGGAAATCAGAAAGAAGCGCTGGAAGTGGATAGGACACGCATTGAGGAAAGCACCCAATTGTGTCGCAAGACAAGCACTCACATGGAATCCTCAATGCCAAAGGAGGAGAGGAATACCAAAGAACACATTACGCAGAGAAGTGGAGACAGACATGAGAAGAATGAACAAAAAATGAATAGAACTGGAAATGATGGCCCAGGACATAGTGGGTTGTAGAATGCTGATCAGCGACCTATGCTCAATTGAGAGTAACAAACGTAAGTACGTAAGTAGCTGTGAAATGACGAATGGAATAAGTTTAATTCATATTGATTTTGCTCCATATCTCTTCCATAATTGTACATTTTTCTTTCTTTTAATTTATCAGATTCAAGTTAATATATCCATTAAAATATAATTAAATCAATTTTCATTTGTTTATTATTTATACTGATTTCAATTTAGGCCAATGAAATAAATCCTCCTTTTTTTGTTTTAATTATCAAAGAATAAACAAATTCTTCCTTATAAACTTGAATAAAACTTTTTTTTTCATTTTATTCGTTTAACATGAAATCTCTATTCATTATTTTGTTTATATGGTATTATGTCATGAGGAAATATTCTTATTGTTCATCAATGATTTCTTCATATTCTTCAAATCCTACTGAAATTAGTATAAGTCATAATTTTAAAATTGTAACTAAAACAAATAATTTTTGTAAAGCAAATCAATTATGTTCGGATCATGGGAAAATAATCAATCGAATTTCTAAACTTATTGGACAAAATTTTATGTTTGCTATACAATATTTCCCAAATCATTCATTTTGGATTAAAATAAATCAAATGAATATTTCACAGATAAAGAATTCTAATTTAGTAAATAATTGGATAGATGAAAATTCTAAATTATATTTAATGCATGAATTAGAATCAAATTTCCCTTCTTATAAAAATCAATCTATGTATGATGGTAAATATACTGCATATTATAATCATTTTGATAATAAAATACAAACTACTTTATTAAATAGAACTAATGAAATTGATGTAATTTGTGAAATAGAAAAAAATACAAATCATGATCAAAATCATTTTATTCAACTAAAACAATTTCGAAAGTGTTTGAATGTAAATACTGAAGTGTTATTTTCACCAAATAAAGATTTTGATGGCTGTTATTCACAAAATATTGTGTCAAATTTACAATCTTGTGCTTACAGGTTAGTTTGAAAATTTCTATCTGTTGAATCATTTCATTCTTAAATTATTGATTATCAAACTAGCAGTTATATTTTCTGAGAAAAATAATATTCCCTCTATCTGCTGAAGCAGATATTCTAAACTCAATTAGCAGAAAAGTGATAGTCATCATTATTTCAAATTTTTTGATTATGAAATTAATTATTGCCAGGATAGTGTTCCTGTTTAATGAAGGTTTCAATACAAAAACAATAATTATCGAACGTAGATAAAAGGCTAATTTCTTTATGCTTAAGTAGTAGTGCATACAGAGATTTATAAATTACATCCTGAGAATGTGTTAAATTACTCCACGAAATATCATTATAAACTTGGTAAAAATCAAATTATAATTGAACAATTGATTGATAAATGGGGTATAACCAATATAATGTGTGTTAGGTCTTTTTTAGTGCAGATCAAATTCTATCAACCAAGTTGCGATATGTCCAGTAGTCTAGGTGACCCAACATCGAGTGCATTATGCTGAGATGTAAGCTGGTGGTTAAAGATAGTCTTATAATTGCATTATTGTGACTAGTTCAGTTATACACAGTGATGATAATGTTGCTGCTAATTCTCACTGATCAACCTTAGAAATCTGTAATTTGTAATTACAGTTAGTCAAACTCCAAAACCTGACACATTTAACCAACTCAGCATATGCTGAAGACATTAAACACATCAAATTGAGAACACATGGAAGTGAAACTGATTGATGTGATAACATCCATTATACGGTATATGAAGAACATTGAAGTCAGAAATAGAAAGCTGTGGTGTTGATAAATCTTCTAACCGGACGCTTGGATCGGTTTCCAAACCTCTTCTAATAACCCCAGGCTAAATCTACACGAAATGAATACGAGTGAAAAGGCACGAAATGTGGAAAAAGCACTTTACTCTAATGTTAGTTTATCTACAGAAAATTGAAAGTATTTATACCATTCCAGATGGCCTCGAGTTTCTGAAAGACTCTGGAACCCTACTAAACTCAGTAGCAGGATAGGTAATTAAACCAATCGATAAAGTGACAGGTGGCTCTTCACTTACTAGATGTTTCTGAAAAACTTCTATCTAATTCTAATTGGATAAAATGTTATCCGGAGTTTTCAGGGACCCTCTGAACTTTTTTTGATGAATACTCTGGATCTTCCAAATAAGTATGTATGATAAATTGCTTTTAGTAGTGTTTTACTCAATTTTCCACTCTACGTCAACTTCATTGACTACGAAAAGGCATTTGATAGCGTGGGCAGAGCAACACTATGGAAGCTTCTTCGATACTACAGCGTGCCTCAGAAGATAGTCAATATCATACAGAATTCGTATGATGCATTAAACTGAGAAATCGTGCATGGAAGAAAATTGACAGAGTCTTTCGAAGTAAAGACCGGTGACAGGCAAGTTTGCTTACTCTCACCCTTTCTCTTTCTCCTTGTGATCGACTGGATCATGAAGACATCAAAATCTGAAGGGAAGAACGAGGCATAGTGGATATCTCGGATGCAGTTAGACGATTTAGACTTCGCAGATGATCTGGCCCTTCTATCCCAAACGCAACAACAAATGCAGGAGAAGACGACCAACGTTGCAGCAGCGTCAGAAGCAGTAGTAGATCTCAATATACACAAAGGGAAAAGCAAGATTCTCCGATACAACACAACACACACCAATCAAATTACACTTGACGGAGAAGATTTGGAGGATGTAAAAACTGTTACATATCTGGGCAGCATCATTGACGAAAACGGTAGCTCTGACGCAGATGTGAAGGTGCGGACCGGCAAAGCAAGATCAGCATCTCCACAGCTGAGGAACATGTGAAACTCGAAATAATAGTCAACTAACAACAAGGTCAGAATTTTCAATACAAATGTCAAGACAGTTCTACTGTATGTGATGGAAACGTGGAGAACCATGGAAGCCGTCACCCACAAGATACAGGTGTCTATTAACAATTGTCTACGAAAAGTACTTCGGATCCGTTGGCCAAACACTATCAGCAACAACCCACTGTGAGAGAGCACAAACCGGATCTCAGCGGAGTAGGAAATCAGAAAGAAGCGCTGGAAGTGGATAGGACACGCATTGAGGAAAGCACCCAATTGTGTCGCAAGACAAGCACTCACATTGAATCCTCAATGCCGAAGAAGGAGAGGAATACCAAAGTACACATTACGCAGATAAGTGGAGATAGACATGAGAAGAATGAACGAAAAATGAATAGAACTGGAAATGATGGCCCAGGACATAGTGGGTTATAGAATGCTGATCAGCGACCTATGCTCCATTGGGAGTAACAGGCGTAAGTAAGTAAGTTACTCAATCTCCCAGGGAATATTTTGATTCGGGAAATAGACGCTTTATACTTTAAGAAAACTTTGTGAGAGTGATATTTGCTCAAATTATTCATGGTGCTTTGAATATTTATTAGTGACATTAAAGATGAACTGAATTATGCATATTCACTAACAATGAAGGAATGACAATTTTTCTCCTATGAAAATATAGAAAAAATTGCTGAAACTATAATCTTAATCCATCTTGCATATAACTCGTACAATATTAGAGTTAATACCATCTAACTTGTGATATATAACCTAGGATAGGGAATACTTCAATAAGGAAGTTAATTCTTATTTAAAAAAATTATTTGCCATGTCTTAATAGAAAAATTCAGAATTTTCTCAACACTTAATTCTCAAATTCACTTGGTATTGTTTCGCTTGTATCTTCCCATTGAGGTTTAAGACTGTAATTGGTCAGTCTATTATTGGCATTTGTTCATACTGTACGTATGCCTCGATATTGTTTTAATTCACAAGCTTTTTGTAAGCAATGATGGATAGTGGGTAGCAGTGTAATTCAGGAAGCGCGTTTCGTCCTATTTGAGACTCGTCACCTTTTATTCTCACTTTATATTTACTTTAAACATTCACATATGAATGGCTACTTCTTTTAAAATATTATTCATTGGTTATGGATGGAGTGAATGATAAGAATCCAAGAAAACTAAATTAAACATAGACAACCTAATTGATTTTATTTTCAAAAGTTTAAAATTATTTAACCTACTTACTACTAAGTAGTATGTAGATTTTCGTATTAAATTCAATGAATCAAGTAAAGTTGTTTTTTTTTCCATTTTAGTTGTGCAAAAGATGAATACTGTACACGTTTCTATTATAATAATTTAACAAAGGATTGTATTATTACACAATATATCGTATCTCTAATTCCAACTTATGCAAATAGAACAAACGGATGGGATTGTTATTCATTGAATTGATCTGTTTATTTCAAGAATTATATAATATTTCTTGAATATACTTAACATTTGATGAATTACACTTAGTAACAAGATTATACTGTAATTTCCAATGATATTTTTAAGACATTCCAATGATTATCCTGATCAATATTTAAATGACTAACTAATGTACATTGAAATTTTCAGTGTTTACGAATTTTCTGAAAATATGTAGCATTTAATAAATAAAATTAAAAAAACAAAAAAAAAGAAACATGAACATTTCATGTTGGTTAAAGTTATAAATGATATTACCATTTGTACATTTTATTGGCACAATTAATCAATAAGAAAATGATTTACAGTTTGAGAAGTTTAATACTTTCAATAATAAAGGAATGATTCAAATCTAATAAGCGAATGATTTAACCCGTTTAAAAATCTATAGTCTTAGTTTGTTGAAATCTATCAACAGAAAATCATACAATTAAATCTTATTCATATTAATGTACATTAAAAAGTCCATTTGAAACTTAATTAATTAAACATAAGATTCCAATAAGTTAGTTTTATTTAAAGTTGATTTATCTCTGATTATGGACTACTAGAATTTTGTAATAATTTAGCCATGTAGTTATATTCTAGACACTATTCATGATGAATTAAAACATAATTTGATTATAGAGTAAATTAATCAGTTTTATTCACTGACGAATTGTTAGGATGGCCTAAGGGTGAAGTCGACGAAACTTTGCATCGAATCACTTTTTGAAAGAACATCCGAGAATCTCGGTATGTAGATTCCTTATTGGACAAATGCTAAAGATCACTGTATGCGGATTGGATGACTATGATGATGATTTTGGTTTTACTAAAAATTATAAATACCTGAGAGTTTTATATCATATTTGACACTGATAAGAATAGGATTCCTTCTCATTGGCGACTTGGAGGGTTCTAGCGTTTGAGTGCTCATGTTGTACGCGGTATATCAAGACTCTAAGCTCTAGAGATAACATAAATAATACAAAAATAATTAAAATATATCTTCTTTAGTCTTTATATTGAAAGTATCAATGAACATTAGAAATTTAATTTTAAACTTTCTTGATCCATACGTCAAACAAAAAAGTAGTACTGTGCATTTTTTGTTTTCCTTCAAGTTATATACGTGTTTTGTGTCACTAGTTCGTAATTTTGTTCAGAAACCCATCAGTATGAATTAAAATAATAAAGTTATGTAAACACAAAACTAGAAGTACAATTTAATTGTTATAACTTGTGACCGGTGCGGCCTGTTAATGTATACGTACTGATACCACCAATTAGAGAGCAGTGAAATATCGATCGGACCAATGACGCCTAAAACCCGTACGAGCAGTCTAGAGTCCTGCTTTCCGCCTAGCTCAGCCAGTTATGTTCAAAACACCAATCCCAGCCTCTGCGTTATGAATCATTTATTTCAAACATACTAGCTTTATATACCAACCAGACAGACCACACCGTACCATAAAGTATGAAACAACATTTGTGCACGAGTCAGCCAAATGTGACTGTAAATAAGGAGGTAGTGATTAACAGACAGGGAATAATTCAAGAATGGTGAATCGTATAATAATAGTTCGTAGGTCATCATAAAGCTCATAATAAGAGAGACATGAATATGTATAGTTTAGTTACATAACAATTATACGATAAAATATATGTATAGTATTGGTCCACAGATGGATCCCAAAGTTACCATTCATTATGCTTATCGGGACATAACATTAACATCCCGACATATCATAGATTCATGTGTCGTTTAAAATTTTTATAAACTGGAAATTTGAACGATTCAATCAACTACTGACAAGAGTTAGTAAATAGGTGTGAAATATTTTTTTCAGTTATGTTAATTTATATAAATTTTAATGAAAATCTGATATAACTTAAAAGTATTGAACCTTATCCATGTGTTGTAACTTCTTGATCCATTATTATTTTGTCGAGGATGTTAGATCCCTTGAACTCACTCGGAGAAGATCCTAATTTAGTAATTTTATTCTGGAAATTTGAATTTTATGTTTTCGCACCAAGAAACGCTTAGTTGACATACAGCTTACACTTCGCACTCGGAAATCCTTGGCTGTCATTGGTTGATGGAATATTTTTTATTACGCTATTTTGTGTCTCTCCCAAGGGTGTTTCTATCTTTGTATAAATAAGCTTGATTTGTATGCTTAGTGACCTCGTATTTTCTGGGTGCTTGTAGAATACATTCTCTACGCCTCATCAAGACTTATTGGTCTAGTTAGGAGGGCCGAGGACAACGGATTAGAATAGCCTGTCGTGTCACTGTATCTTTGACCTTCGTTCCGTTTACCAAGTAAGGTGAACCCGTAATAGTATCTAAGCATATCATATTTATTTATTGATAAAACAATTACGACAGCGATTTGAAGGTTATGACTTAATAAACAAAACATTTGTAAATGATTTTAGTCGTGTTTAATCACACATTTTCAGAAAAATGTTTATGTGGCACAGTTATGACAATAGTTTACCAAAATAATGATGACCTGTTTGTTAATATGTACCGAATATTAACTACTCAAGTATTTATCTAAAGAGTAAATAAAAATTTGACATCAATTCAAATAGGGTTGCGCATAATAAACAGAATGGTGATAATGCGCATTATTCGTAGATTGGATCATTTAATGATAATCATTAGAATACATTGAAAACTACTGACATTATATAAATCCGATATCAGTCTTGTTCCAAATTCTCTGAAGTGTTTTATTCGGTAGATGAAATCCAGTGTACATCTGTCTTCAAAATCTCGATTGTTCCTGCTGCTTCACAACAAACCGTCTCTTATTTCTACCTTAATTTATCATTGTCATACCCCAGTCATTTGTTAAAAGAGATTGCAAAAGTAACTCTATATCCCCATTCTACTCATGACATATCATTTGATCATATAAGCGTATAGACTTAAAATACTAAAAACTAACAGTTGATACTCTTTAGTACAAATATATCATCGCCTAGTTAATACAATTTATATTTTTAAATGAAGAAGTTTCATAAATACTTCAATGTTTAACAACTTATCATTCACTATTAATTTATTACCAACTGGCATACATATAGCAACAATACACAGATAACACTAATTTACTATTCATATTAATGAGAATCTAGCTAGATACTGTGTATTATTGTCCCATACTCAACAAAGATGTCATTAATTACTATTTCATCAACGTAGTAAAATGTAGCTGAAGTGACGACTAGATTGTTGGATAAATCATGCAACTGGTGAAATCTCTTGATCTTGAGATAAGGATTAGATACTGAAGTCAGTAAAACAACTGAATGAACATTAGAGTACTTTCATCAAAATACAGAGATTGTTATTTTTATTGAGCTTCAGATATCACTATCATTTTGACTACACTTTAAACATAATATAATTTTCTCTAATTTACTTTCATTCATAAACTCGTCAGCCAATTATTAGTGGATTACTGTGGCCAACAAAGCCATCGAGCTTGATATGACGTATTCATTGAGCGCTTAGTCGCAGATCGCAATAAAGAGAAACAAACTGAAAGGTTTTAAGTTCAACATTATAATGTAAATGTTCAAACTCACCATTCAATATCATAATTTACAGCTGCAAAAATTCTCTAGTTACGAGTAATTATTCAATCACTAGCTTGTGAACATCGTTTGCCTTGAAAATTGTTTATGCAGTTCTAAATTTGAATATGAAAGCTTTTATTTCTTTAATTCATGTGGCATTCCCATTATTTCATTTTGAGCGAAACGTCTTTGACTATGGATCACATTCAGCTTAACATTACTAATGTTACAGTCTGAGGGTCGGTTCAGTCAGTATCCACGCTTCTAACTCTTTGCAAACAGGATTGGCAGAAAAAATGGGTGAAACTACGTAGGGCGCTATATTCTGAAAAGCAGAATTGAACTACTAACAACTTATTTGTGACTATAGGTGACCAGATTGATGTTTGGTTTCGTACGATAACATACCAAACGAATTTTAACTGGATGTTATTTTATGATGTGCCTAAACATAATAAGTTGTGCTCGAAATATGGTTCACCAAACAACTATATTTCAACATTTGTCATAAGCATACTACTATCCCAGTAAATATTTAGGATGAATTTAAGACTAAGGTAGAATAATACCTGCTTTCTAAAAGGTATTGTAGAGCCTTTAAAAAAATCAAATTGTAAGTTGAAAGTTTATTATGTGTATCAGCATAATTTTACAGCACTAGAAACATCCTATATATTTTTTAAACAGACTGATAACCGTGTTATCAGTTATTTTCCTAAATATACTAGACCGCATTACTTCGTTATTCAAATAAGTGAACTGGGTAAAAAATACGTGTTTCACTATTTGTATAACTAGAATACGACGGAAAGCATATGCGAATTCCTTCGAAATGGTTTCTACAGTACTTGACCTTAAAACTTGACAGATTAAATAACCAGTGAAAGAAAGTGTAAGTTCAGGGACGTGGAGAATTTATATAAGTGGGTAAAAACTAGAACTTGCAGTTGGACTGTCAAATTCGGTGGATTGGAAACTCCAGATTCCGGTGGCAGTTATTAACAAGGTGGAGAGAACAGATGTTTCCTCCTAGATTTAGAATAGTATTATTCGTCCCTGCTGTTATAAAACAAATCTTCGAGTTATTTAGGTAGACTTATATTTCATAGAAAAAGTACTATCGAACACAAAGTTACATTTTATAATTGGGATGACATTGTATCACTTGACTAATATATTCCGCTTAGTCTTCAATAATAAAATACCATACTACCGGTTGAATTAAGCGATTTCTCGGGACATCAGTAATGTAGAACATAATTCCCATTTATCAACGAACAAATATCATACGGTAAATGATTACGCCAAATAATAGAAAATAAATGAAAGATAATTTGGAAGTGATCCTTCAACTAATACGTCAGAAATGATTGCTCACGATTTCACAATATCAATATCTACGATCAATGAGAAGAACTGCACTATCAATAAAGGTATATACTATGGAATGGTGTTGAAAACATAACAAAAGCCATCATCAATTACAAGATGTCTATGAACAGATTACAATGAAGAGATGCAACGGTAATAAATATGATTTAAAACTTGGCATTTCCCAATAAATCAGAAAACAAAACAAAATAGTTTTATTAAACAAATAGTAGGCCAGAATTTATAAAAATCTCAGTGTATATGTGGTCTTCACATATTGCTTCTTTAAAATGACTTTAAATTTCATCAGGTTTTCAAACAGATTATCCAACAACAATAAAATAATATGAAATTTCAAAAATCTCAACTATCCATTAGCGACCTTTATCTCTTATAGAATTAATGCAAAAAACGATTGACAAAAATTAACACTTTTGTAATGGACAGTGTTTCGTATATTGATAACAACGGAAAAGATATATTCTATGATTGATGATGTAGACGAAATATTACATTGAAAGTTCACTAGAAAAATCGTACACCGAAACCTTATTAATTAAATATTTAGAAGCCTTTTATGTGGCTATAAATAACACCATACCAAGTCTCGTACAAGGGATAAGTTAAATAAATTAATTGATTCATATACATTGTGTTGTTTGAAGAAATCAATCAGAATTCTCGTATGAAATGGGTAGAAATAGAAAATCATAGTTGAAATATTCTAAAATAAAGTATAGGAATTATGATTTTCAGTAGAATTTGTCACATTTTTCTCTATGGTCAACAATGAATATTGATGAACTTTCTTCGAATATCTCCAAGTTAAAGAAAATATTTTATAGTGAATAGTCAGATTATTTGATGAAAGCACACGATTTGTTTTACTTCAGGCTCTTGAAATAGAATATACTCAAATCTGTGTTATGTTCACTACTGAAAATTCAATTAGTCATCCGTTAATTCAAACAATCAAATTAATAAATTACGAGTCTTTTTCTTATTTAGTGGAAAATTATTAGCAGAACACTTTATATTTCCCTTGAACAACTAGCCGAGCATCAACTTTATGAATTTGAATGCTTTGGTACTGCTACTACACCAAATAATACATTTTTCTCAAAAACCAAACAAGGATTTAAATACTTTATTATAATTAGAATACAATTTTTATCAGAAACACCCATCTCTTTAAAAGTATTATTGTCAGATATTTGGGGTCTCATTGTTGCTCTCATGTTTACATAGTTCAGTAGAATCAACGATAGATGATAAGATGAACAAAGGAATATCAAATGTCTCGTCATTCAAAAGAACCAGATCGTATAATGAACTGAATAATTCCACTTTCTCGTCATTCTGTGAACACAAATAAATAGTAAATTGAATAATCCATAATATACAAAGAATGGATTGAAAAAAATTAGTCATTCACATCGAATACATTAAATAAATTAAAATTTTATCCTTTAATTTAAAGAGATATGCGTATTCTAAGGTAATGGTTTACCAACATCAGGAAGCCCGAATAGTTATATTTTCGACTCAGTCCAATTACAATATATATATATCATAGTAAACTCTGCCAATTACTAGTGACTAATTTACATGGAGTGAATGCTTTATTTCGAAATGTGTAAAGGGCACTACCGCTTAACGAACTAAAAGCACATTCAACGGAAGAGTTCTATATGGAATATAATGCTTTTAGTTACAAACACTATTACCATAAATAACAATAGGAATTTACGTGAACTCTAACTCAAAATCGACACGACAACAAGCCATAAAATCCATGCTACGCTTTAGAATTACCGTATTGTTAACACTGTGATAGATCCAACTCTTCGCCCTACGCTCTGCATATCTGGTTGAATAAGTATTAGGAAACGTGTACTAGTCACTGAACTACACTGTTAGAACACAAAACAATATTCAGTCTTATAATGAAAATAAATTAAATAGATAGTGACAACAAAGAGTTCTCATAATCAATATTTTATGTAATAGACAAATTAGAAATCCTGCGTTCCCAAAATATTTGTTTATAATAAGACGACCAAATTGTTAAGTAACAAACTTACTTGATTAAAAAGCAACATATAAAGGTTTGTGAGTTTTAAAGAACAATGACGATAGCAGTATCAAGAAGCTTCTTAGTATAAATGACTTACACCACGATAATATCAGCGCAAAAATAAGTAATAATTGATAAGTACAAGTTTGTCACATATCATGCGACGGTAAGAGGTAGGTATTAACCTCCTTAAATTCAAGTGCTTAAATCGTTGAACCATATGTCTTCAAATGAGAAATAATGTAACTATTATAAAAATATCTCCAAAGTAAACTATAAATGCTTACCACACTGTAATAACAATAACTATTTTATCAAAGGCTGTTTTAAAAAGTCAAAAAGAATTAAACATGACTTGAACACACTATGTTACACAAGATATTCTGGTTATATTTACACCTTCTTAACCATTGAATACAAATTAGAAAGTCACTTGAGTAACATCAGGCTTATTAGTTAATTTTATTGAATTTAAATATATAGAGAGATTACTTTCAAGTTAATATTTCATTTTTATTTTCATTATTTTATGAGCCTTGAGTAAAAACACCTCACCTGAAAGTAATGAGCCTCTATTCATGTTTGATTTAACACCAGATTAGTCGAAAACTGAACATTGTTCTAACTACAGTCTCGAATCATCAATACAATGTATCAGTGGAACATATCTCAAATTACTGAAGTTTTGAAGATATCTTACATATGAACTTCAACAATCCTATGAAATTAAGTCAAACGTTTTTTTACTACTTCTCTCAAATTATAGATACAGACAGTTTTAATATCAATAGCTGAAATCCACGTTCACAAGAAATTTACAAAAGAATAGATTCCATTTGTAAAAGAATATTGAGCCTAAAAACACTTACTTTTTCATTTAAAAATCCTATACGAATAACTATAACTTGTTCATAAGAAAACTTTTCCCCATCATCAATCATCTTTGCATCATTAGTTGAGTCACCAATAAGCAGAATGCAAATTCTTTTCGACAGAATGGTTTCAAAATATTCAGAATTTTGTATTACATTATACATTTTATTAAGAGAATGAATAACGGGATCTTGAAATCCAACCAAACGACCCTAAAACAATACATTTACAGGTATCTTAACATTAAAAGACGATGTGATTCATAGAGACTAGAATATATAAATTATTAAATAGTAAAAGAAGACATCAAAACGACAATACTACTTTAAAACTATGCTGGAAAAAAAGGTTCCTGTACAGTTTATAAAAATAAGGATTGAATCGCTAGTATGAAAAGAGACAAATTTTGAATCAACGATGTATTAGGGATCTAAAACCCCGTAGAAATTGTAGCTATAAGAAAAGTTTGTTATAATCACAACACTTACTGTTGTTTGTAACTATAACATCACTCCATTAACATGGTCGTGTACATAAAAGTTACAATGATGTACAGTTTAAGTACAAGAGTAATAAATCATCATTTTTGAAAACAATTACTATGCAAACAAAGTTTAAAACATGTCTGTTAACAAGAAAAGTTGTGGTTTAAAAACGTCCAGATATCCGAGGCAAGAATTCCTACTTGCTAGCTACACTTGTTAATTAGATAACAATACTTTATGACGAGTTCAAATCTACAAACTGGATATTACTAAGACAGCAAGATATGGTTAAACCTAAATTGTTTTACTGCAGTGGGTCAAATGGACTAGACCTCGAATAAATATAACGGATTCAGAAAATCAGGGTAGGAGCTACGCTTCAAATGTGAGAGTTAATGATCCTGCCCAGTTTCTCAAAGCGGCATTGGTGTGGTGGCTTTCGAGCCTGGAAATTTCAGCTGTTACTGAAGGAGTCTAATTTAGTGCTCTTTTTTCTACAGATGTAGGATGTATTTATTATTTATTTAAACACATAAACATAGGTACAAGAAGACACCAAATAGATATGCGCCACACAAATCATTCGATTTACGTGAGGGCTAGGATAATGCCCAGATGCCCAAACCGAAGCAGGTGGTTTTTTAGGGGGCCACACCCGGAGCCTTCGACCTAAAGGTCTAATCCACAAGGTAGTGGAGCAACGTAAGGAGATGCAGTCGCATAGTAGTCGGTGACCAACGACTGGTTCATACGCTATTTGTTCCCTTAGGATACTGAAGCTCATGTGCACCACTGGTTTGGAATCAGGGTTTTCCAACTCCCATAGGTGAACCCTCCGTGTCCACCAACCCGGTTAAAGCGCCAGACACTCACTCTTCGTCCTCTAAATTTCGTAAACAATACCCCCGCCGCGAGAAGGCAGTGAGTAGGACTGGTAGTGGTTGTATGCACGTGGCTATGTGAGAGCATTTCGGTCGTACCAGGGCATTTGGGGGCAGATGTGGGATGTGATTGTTATTGTTGAATAAGATAAAGAAACTCTAACCAATCCTAGGTAATCAAGTCCAACTGTTTACAGAAGTTGGGGGCCAGGATAACTGCATTAGTACTTTGTGTCATTACAATACTTAGCATTTGTTATATCCTAGTGAAGATTAAATTACGGGTAACTTCTGAGAACTATTAATGGACTAATATTATATATATTCCTATTGTATAACTGTTCAGTAGCTAGATTATGTATATCTATATTCCTCTTATTATAAGTTTCATTTTGACCTATAGATCATTATTATACGATTTACTGTTCTTAAGTTATGTTCAGTTCATTGATAACAGTCTCCCGTGTTCACAGCCACTCTTTAGCTTGATCTTGTATAAATATTATTTCCTATTTTATGGTGTGATGAGGTCTGTTAGGCTGGTATATAAACCAAGTGTGTTTGGAATAAACGCTCTGCACAGTGGAAGTCGTTAGTGGCGTTCTGGACTCAACTGGACGGGCTAGGCGAACAAAGGACCAGTAGAGACGCTAGACTGCTCATACCGGTCGAACGTCATTGGTCTAGAACAGTACTAATATTGAATAAATCGTATTTCGATTAGTGAATAAATCACCCGATAACTAGCTGGCCTTAAAAACAGAAGAGCATCTATTGACAGAATCCGAACTTTTGAAGGATAAAATAAGTGAGAAACCAGTAAGAACTGTTTAGATTGTTCCAAGAAACAGTTCGTCCACTATCTAATCCTTTATTCACGCAGCTTCTCCTCTTGATAATAATCTCCCAAACTGTTGGGGACGATAGATCCCCAAAACTCATATTTTGTAATTTCATCTTATCGATTAAATGTTAAATATTTGAATGGATGTCGATTGATGAACTTATCGATTAAATGATTAAATAGCAGTCAATTGACGAACTTATCGATTAAATATTTGAATGCCTGTCGATTGATGAACTTATTGATTAATGTTTAAAAACATTTTACTATGACAATATCGATTGTAAATATTTGTATAAATACGCTTGACTTGTGTGCTTGACCTGACCTGGTATCTGCTGTTTGCCTGTAGAATACACTTCCTACGCCTTACAAAGACTTCTTGATCGCGTTAGCTGAGTCGGGGACAACGCACCAGAATAGTCTATCAAGATTCTGAATCCCTTGATCCGATCGATAAGTCACTTCCCTCTAATCGGCGGCCCTTTGAGATATAACACAAACACCGTATGTATTGGAGGTTAATAAAACATACTGTATATCTACGATTGTCTAAATAAGTAGAGAGGTAACTAAACCCTTATATACCTAGATAGCTTCAAGTTCACTTACCAGCCAATTGTGTTAGATTATCAAGGGGTAATCAGACAACACTAATTATGAAACCTATCAAAAGATTAATCCTTACTTCAGGATTGAAGTCCATAAAATTTGAAACAACACGAACATTTTCCAAGGATACACCTGACGATGTCAGAACTGTTTCTATAACATTTCCTATGCCTCCAGAGAATACAATTAGTGGTATGCTGAGTTCAGCCAACTTATTTACAAAATCAGTTGCATTATTCCTAAAATTAGTGTTGCGGTTAAAATTGGACAAAAGAATGAAATTTAAAGAATACATAAATAAGCAAATTTAAGAATGATCAAATTGAAAGCTATCTGAACTTTAATATACTAGTTAACGTCTGGATGGTTTAAAACTTGGAAAACCGAACAACGAATAAATTAACTAAATAACAAACGTGATATTGTATGTTTGAGAAAGTATTTATTTCGCGATGTGTTTGGGAACATAATTCCACAAACCAAAACACCATAGTTCTTAAACATACCATCGAATGAAAATGTTCAATTAGATAATGAAATGACGCCTCAGTTGACCAAATAGTATCTCTGAATATTAAGTTGTATATCTAACTAGTAGTGAAAAATGTGCACAGAGAACATCATATTTTTAGTAAAGCCTAATTAAGAATCTAGTTGGATAGGAAAATCAACTATCAGTAAACTGACATACCGAATTCCAAAATTAAAATTTGTCTCAGAACTTGCTTTAAGATAACCAAGGTAACACAAATAGAGTTTCGCGATATTCTAACCCAACGGACAAACATTTTAGTCTTCCGAATTTATTCACTTTTTGCCATTGCATGTCATATTTGTAGTTGATTTTGAGTTTCAATTACTCTTGTCAATTATTCCGTTTATATTTTTACCTTACAGTACAGCAACCTAAGCAGATGCACTGTTAACTGATTTCTTTGAACGCGAAATTGATGGGGATAGAAAAGTAAGACTATAAATATACTTTCAGTGTACTATTACTTTGGTTTAAGGGTTGATAAGAAAAATGAAGCAGCAAGCTACTCTTTTTATTTACACGATCAAGATATTCTCTGAAATTAATACCGATATCTTCTAAGTTAGATGTTAGTTCTATACGTTACTTTGAATCAAACAATGTCAGTTACTGTGAAGAATACTGTAACTAAATTATTCGTAGTACAACATCGCAATTTGTCAACTATGTAAGCGATTCCTCAATGTACGTGAACAAGTTAACAGATTTATTGTCAACATAAAAGGATAGGTACGTACTGTACGTTTAAAGGGTTACTTTTTAACATCAAACCGAATAAATCCCAAGATGGACTAAAATAAATGCATTTCTTAGATCAGTCAGTCAGTCAGTAACAACGTAGAACTTCGTACGTACGTACATCAGTTCGAGTTGCCACACCACATTAGCACACAGATGCAGTGGTCGATTCAAATCCCGTAGTGGTAGAGGTAGTAAGAGTATAACCAGTAATCAGGAAAATTAGTGTTTGGAGATGTTATTTAAAGAGTATAATACAGTGAAATAAATTTGAGAGGAGAAAAAAGAGACAAGGAGGAATAAGGAGATCAAAATTTGGGAGAACACAAAGAGTGGATGCACCTGCGCCATTGCAAACGATTTTGAGCCATGTCATTCAGGGTCTCTAACCATCGGTTGCTATCATCTCGTGGTCCCCAACCAGGTAGTCTACACCCACCGACATGACTCAGACCACTTGTCAGTGACTTCATGGACTTGTGCCATGTTTTGGTTTGGCCGCCTCTAGCTTTCTTCCAATCTACTCCTATACCACTGAACATAGCACGTCGAGGTAGTCGGTCGTTGGGCATACGTAACACGTGTCCCAGCCATCTCAACTGATGAAGTTTCACTACGTCATCAATTGATTTGCCATTTCTTAGATAAAAGATACCAACTTAACTAACGTTTAGGTCAGTTTTTAAATTGGCGGCTTCTTAGTTAATCGACAACTCGAATGGATCAACGACCTCGGTACAACATTCTGAGGCTTTATGATAAATGTTTCAATCAAGACTGACATACATAAAACCCCATACATGTTTGTGCTTAAAACAGAGATTTATAGCTACGGTATGAATGTTAAATACCACAGCCAACGTTTTTAAGATACTACTAGTCAGAATACAGTAAGTTACAAATGCTTGGAATGTAAAATAGTTATCTTTACTTTTGTGACAAAGAATATCCATGAGAATTCGAACACAGTATCTGGCTTTAATCTTCTAGCTCTTTAGGATCAAGGAGAAATTTGACATAGTTTAATTATGTCAACCAAGAAAAAAATAGTATTTATGTGAATGAATAAGTCTTTTTTATTGAGAGGGGCGTGCAGATGCAAGGAAAGAGTATATGAGCGAACTAATACAGCAAGACGCAACGAATGGAGCAGGTACTGACTTTTATCTTGAGAAATAATACTTTTGAAAGCTCACTCAATATACGTGCTAGTAAACGTTTTAGTCAAGTGAATAGAGGTCAGAAATATCTAGTGAGTTGCGTACTATATATAAATTCTTGTGAGCACTTAAAAAGACATAGATGCACAACTGACTTTTGTGACAACTTAGACGACACTTTTATGTTCATATTTTATTTCATTCAAGCTATTGTTAAACTGATTGTAAGACCTTAATTACTTTTAGTCATCTGTGTCATTAAGAAATTACATCAACTAATGCAGCACCTTCTGCTTGAATGAATTTAGGCAACTTAGATGACTTATACGAATATTCGTCAATATCTGAACGAACAGTTTGGTAGAAATTGAGCACCAAGTATATAAAATATATTATTTGTAAAAATTATATTTGAAATAATCTAAGAATCTAAAAATTAAATAATCCCAGCATTACGTCCAGAAACCTTACCTGAACGTCGTCACGGTAATAATTAATATCAAAATCATCAAAAAATAAATAACGTCTGACAACCAAACCTAAACTAACAATTTATCAAGACATTCATTTTGTTCGGTAGGAAAATATGAATTAGTAAGATGTGAATAATGTGGAAAGTTATAAATGTGAAAAAGAGTGAATGTGTGTATGTGTACCTTTCTGTTATTACTATTCAATATTTGATAAATCCAACACTTTCCTATAATTAAAGATAGGTTATTCATTTTGTGTATTAAAATAAAAGTAACAGTACAAATTGAAGTGATTTTAAACGTCAGTGTGTATATAACACGGGAATAACTAGATACTTAGTTGTGATGTTAAAGCATGCATATTAACTTTTGTCAGAATAAAGCTACATGTGACATAATTAAGGTAGATAGAGATAAGGTCCAGTTACTCGTTAATAAACATTGGTTAAGAGCTGACTAGCTAAATTTCATCGTTCTTGTTCAGGTTGTCTTTTTGTTGTTGATTAAATGGCTACTTTTGGAAATCTATTGAACGCTGAGTTAAGTGTATACAATGTCTACTACAGAACTCTGATGTAGGACAAGAGCGCAAAATATGACGGTGATGCAAACCATTTTAACCAAATACCGTTGGCCAAAGTGTTTTAGTTCTTTACACTACTTAGAACTATGCTCATTCATAAACACAGCCACTATCTGAAGTCAACAAACAACGGATGTACTACTACCACTACTATAGTGATTACAAATGTGCATAAGCAGATTTCGGTTCACACGATCAGTTCTCGGAAGATATTGTATTAATTACTATAACAAGTGTTACTGGGTCAGTGGATGTACCAATCTACTGAGAATGAAGAAATCCTTTTTAAAAAGCACTTGACCAAATGCAGAGTGGATACGTTAATTATCGAATGACTAATCTACTTGTTAATTATAAGTTTTTAAATGTCTTATGTTTTCGCGTACGTAGTGTCGAAACCTACTCCTACGAGCACACACTTGCGTCCAACAGTGTGAAATAGTGATAAAAACGTTAAAAGTCAAGACCGACCTTAGAACTATTCCACCTTCCAAAACACAACCATCAATATCACTTCGAGATACATTCCCGTCAACCAATGCTTTATGGGCCAATTTCCAAAATTCCATCATGAGTGACAACTTCTCGCACTCATATATGCAGCAAGACGTTTCAAGCGGTAAATAAAGGTCCAGAAGCTCTTTGAGCTAGGAAAATAAAAATTGAAGACCTACTTACCCGTAATCTAGATATCTCAGGAATTCTAGGATTTTTCATGAACAATTCTTCCATGTTTACTGTATTATCTCAAACAAACAAGAATTACCATGACAAACAGGAACCTTCTCAGAATTGTGAATGTATTTGGACAATGTGTGATCAAAATCACAAACAACCTCACATTAATATTTACAGAGATTTCTTACTTGCATATTCTCCGGTCCATAACGTATGAAATCTACTAGTTTATTCACTATTCTGGGACTAACATGGATCAGACGATGATCTTCAAACTATACGCAGAATATGAAATTATAAGGTTACCATGGATCCTAACGCATTGTAAATATGACTCGCAAGCACACTGCAACCGCATCTGTCCTCCAAGGTCATGAGTTTGGAAGACTGCGAAGGCCATATGTAGTTGTGTGAACTACTAAAAAGACAGTGGAGACAAAATGGTACATGACATCCATCAATCTCGTGGTGTTATTCTACATCTCCTCAGATTATCTTGTATTCTGTTAATTTTCATGGTTTCGTCAATTTATCGTGATTCTTATTAGGTTGATTCAGGTATATCTTGTTCAAAGATTCAGTTTCAGTTTGGAAAGCACACGAGACAAGATGACCTGTAATAGTCATGACAGTGGTGGTCTCTCAGTTGATCTAACTTCCTCTTGAAAGAGTCGTTACTCGTCATGTTGTTTCAGGTATGAATGAACAGTTGGCGTTTCGGGGCACTGTCTGGACACTGTGGGTGGGTCACACAGATAGCGACGAATGCTACCCAATTGGATCCTCTTGTTTCAGCTTCTCGAGATAAATCTCTCATTGTTTGGGACTTAAGGCGAGAATCTGGTGAATATGGAGTACCTGTAAGGTCTTTACATGGACACAATCATTTTGTCAGTGACGTAGTTATGTTGTAGTGACTCACATTTATCACGAGAACACGACTGGTTTAATAAAAACAATTATTATTATAACCAACTGTGCCAGTGTTTGTTTTAATGTGCTTTTGTTTGACTGTGCTAATGACAGCTATATTGTGCCTCCATTCTTATTCTTACACTTTGATTGTGACTTCGCGCGAATTCGGTTACGTTCTGTAACAAAGCTTGTATCCTGGCACGATCTCGGTATCCTTTCGATACCACGAGATTGCCAGCAAATATATCTCGACTTGGTCTACTAACCGCCTTCTGATATTTGGCTTCTCGGGGATTTTATGGATTTATTTGGTTACGTTCAACCTTCGCCTTCTGATTTATTTGGCACGTGTTTCTCAGTAGCGGTGTTCATAGTCAATCCCAACTCGACACCACCCTACAATGTCATCCGATGTGTTATATGCTTTATCAGGGTTGTGAGATAGCACGTGAATCACGTGTAATGAATTCCACACGCTGATAATTCGATGGGAAAGTTGATAGTCACCTGACGGGTAATTTGCTCTGGGCTTGTGAACATTCTTGGAGTTTCTTCATAAATTCTCTGTTTTGGAAAGAAAGTGCGAGTTTATCACAAATTGATTTGAAAACTGTAATCATGGTACATCCATTTCTTCCAGATGGCAGTGGAAATAGGTTTAGTTTGGCCAGTCGAGTATCATATGGGAGCATCGCTATTTTTGAAATCGGCTTAATTACTGTTCTCTCGGACTTTTCCAAAAGCTCACTGTCTTTGTTTGAGAAGAGGCTAGCCACTTATATGCAGTATTCAAGTTAAGGACGCACTAACACTGTATATAAAGTCAAAAAAGTTTTAGTGTCGACATGAATAAAAGATGCCAAAGTAGGTTAGCATTGACTTGGTGGATATAACCTATTCTTCTACTGACATGTTCACACTACTCAATGTAGTACATGCTAATATTGGCCTAACAGTCTGAGTTACGTTTGGAGTTGCACAATAACCGATTGGTGACATGGTCAAAATTCGGTCTCAGTAGTAAGGTTGAAGTTATTCTTAATATATTTTGAAATCTTTAGATGAGTATCATTTCATGCTTGTAATTCTTGAATCTATTCTTGTGCAATAACATTTCCCACCAAACGTTCATTATTCTGTTGCAACATTGGTTGACTCTCATTCGTGCAACTTTCTACGTCAATGATCACCGAATTACTAGCTTGAATTTCACACTAAGAAGACGTGAAGCATAAAGTGTGAGGGTCATATATGTTTAATTAATAATGAGTAGTTTGTTAAATATTATCTAATAAAAGTTGATTGAGTGGTAATCTGTGTGCATCACTGATTCGCTATTAGTATCGTGATTATTAACTTCAGTAATGCTAGTGTTGCTCTTAATTTTGTTAAAATCGGTTGACGGTTACTCATATTGTCACGTTTGCCTTATCATTTTACATTATGTTATGTATCTCAATCGAAGCTATTGTATTAAAAACCCAAACTGATGGATGGTACTTGAATGATATTTCAGATCCCAACAAAATCACCAACATTTCATCTTATTTAAAGTAAGCATCCATGTAATCCCGTGGAAGTATGTCACTTAATTAAACATCACTGATCAGCCTCAAGTAATAGAAAAACAGAACTACTAGTGCTGAACATCATACTTGCAAAGAGAACACAGGTCCGTTGATTTATTCATTTTACATTAAAGAAAATTCTTATGATTTTTGGAGATTTTTGTTTTGCTTGATAAAAACTCAGTGTTTACTTCCCAGAAATAACGCTAATTCGACCAAGAAGAACTGGGTGAGCACAAACGTATGTATTGTATTTGCAGTTCGAAATCAGTCAGTCATCAAGTACGAAGGAATAATTAGTTCATTAAAACACCACATCCGCCACAGCTTAAATTGGAGTCTCAGTGTCTGTATCCGATTAGACGTCTTCTCCTTAAGTTCACCATATATCTTTCCGACAGTGTGCTGGATGTAGACTCTGTATTATGTAGAATGTACTCGTTAGTATCAAAATTAACAACAGAAATTGAAACAGGCTCACACGATTCCTGGAATTGTATTTGATCTACATGTCGGTTGTGTGTATTGGAATCATTAATTTCGAGAATTCACACAGAAGATTTCCCGACATTCTTCAGCACAATCCAAGTCGAATAAGGGTGACTAGGAGCAGTAAACAGATGTATGCACCCTATACAATTCAATCATGTAGTGAATGCATCTGCAGCAAAATGAGAGTCATTGTCAACCACTAACACCATGGGAACCCCTCCTCGACTAATCACCTCTCAAAATCCTCAGATTGTGAAGTCAGAATTCGGTGAAGTTGTGAGAAAACTTCAGGCGATTTCGAACAACAATTAATGACTAGAAGTGCATAATATTTGCAAAGAAATGAACTGCAATTGTCTGCATGAATTCTCTGTCAGGCCTCGAACAATACTGGCCATGGAGTACACTTTGATAAATGACCTTTCAACTTATGATATTTCACACAATTGTTTGTTGTACGACATATGTCTGCGGTTATCGCCAGTTCTCAGCATGTGAGCCTTGTCAGGACTAGATATTCACGACACCTAAATGGCCATATTAAAGATCTTCAAGGACAGATTTACTCAATGAATCATGAGTAACAACGCGACCACTTGAACACAAAATACCATCAGGAGTAATGGATAGATCATCCCCCTTTGAAAAATAGACAGGAAATCTATGCTTAAGATTGGCATTCCAACATTCCCGTATGGCACTGAGTATATATCCAAAGTATTATCGAGTTTCTCCAATGAGATCTGGACGTCATACCGGCATGGTTTGCACTAAACAAGAGTCTGAAGTATTGAAAGGTCTATCACGTTGTGCTCGTCGAGATATACAGTCAATATGTTGGATTCTTTTGGCACTTCTCTACCAAATCGTATGGCCATTGACGCTCACAGCACTACTCCATCGTTGAACCATCCCGGCTGAGAAACGTGCTAAGCATTTTTCATGATAGCATATAAACTCTAAAGCTTTGTGTTCCTTAAAAATAGCGAATTTATTTCCGAATAAATATTTGTGAAGTCCTTTAACGCCCCAAAATACATCTAATGCTTCTCGTTGAGTTTGTGAATAACTTTGTTCAGTGATAGTACGTTTGCGTGAAACACAGATAACTGGTTTACTCCTCTGCTCCAAAACAGTACTCATACCCACAGTTGATGCATCAGCAATAAATACATGATTTGAACTATGTGATGAGTAAGTTTGAAGAACAGCATCACTTTGAAGATGTTGGGGACGGTATATCCCCGAAATTCATATTTGTAATTTTATCATATCGATTAACTTATCGATTAAATGTTTAAATATTTAAATGAAAGCCAAATGATGAACTTATCGATTAGATTTTTGAATGCCTATCGATTGATGAACTTAATGAGTCATGTTTAAAAAAAACATTTTACTATGACAAAATCGATTAAATATATTTGTATATATACGTTTTAAATTGTTTTTGTGTGCTCGCTCGTTTCTGGCTGTTTGCAGAATATATTCTCCATACCAAGCTTGGACTTCTCCTTCTAGATAGCGAGGCTGCGACGTATCAATAGCTAGATTACTGGTCTTTGGTCACTGAGTCTTGTTCTCGTTCGCAGATTAAGTGAACTCGTGAAGCTTCGAACCTAACAGAAGAAACGTTACTAGACTTCGCAAGCATGGCTCTTGTTCCTCATCCCATTTAAATGACTTTGTTGTCGAAATATTAAATAAACAATTGACACGACAAGAAAAATCAGGAATAAAACGGGAATAGTATTGAAGAGTACCTACTAGTGAACGTAGTTCTCTAAGATTGTTTGGAGACGGTGCATTTGTCAGTGGAGCTAGATGTTTCGTATCTGGTTTAAAACCATTACCATCAACTAGGTATCCAAGACTTTTGGAACTAAACACACAAAATGGACATTTATTTGTATTCACCGTAACATTCTCCTCAATTAACGGACGCAATAAACCAATAGGTCTCTAGTCATGAACTACCTCATCAGAACCACGAACAATGAGATTGATGATGTCACAGGTATTCAGTGTTTGACAACGCTTCTACCAGTAACACCTTCTAATGTATTTCGTTCCCACCCAGAGAAATCAAAAGACAGAGTCGAGGAGATCGGAAGAGTATATTTGGCGATGACCAATATATCGGAATTCTCTGATCTAATCTGGCTAGCGATTGCGGTTGATGTTGAGCACGGCGTTACCACACGTGATCTGGTGCGGATGCCTGACCGAGCGCCTTCAGCTAGATGAGTCCACTAAAACATATGGTCAGCATCCAATGTCGAAAACTTAGTGCTATTTATTTTGGGGATTTATTTACCGCTACACATCACTCCACCCCTTAGTGGGGCAGTGACGACCCTAAGACGTGGACAGCCAGAAGTTTAAACCCAACGAGTTTGTCGTTGGTAAACACTCTTCTGATAGCTTACTAAGTGTAGCAGCGTCTGGTCGTCTTTCCTTACTATATGGGACCGAGGTACAACATAGTAAA